TTAACCTCTGGATGACCAATATCACTATAAATGGCCAAGGAAAGTCAGTCTCCTGGTTAGTCCTTCCTGAGGAAAGAAGTTGTCGCCCATTTCCATTAATGAAGAGTTAGTATAACTTTCATCAACAACCTTTTGTGTGTTAGTGCATGATTGAGCCTGGATATTTCAACGGGACATTTTGACTGGATATTTTACCCTTGGACAAGTCTTGAGAAAGCCTGTAAGATGAACTATTACCTTGTTCTTCGATTCTACATGACCCTGAACGGAATATCTGTTACAAAAGGTATTTATCGCCACGTGAGCCTTATGTAAAACTCTCTCTCTCCATGACCTAATTTTTTTGTATCAAATTCTCAAATTTTTTTTTATTCATCAAATCTTTGTTAAGTGTTAATTGTAGTTCGAGTCACTTCCATATGTTGTCTTTCAATCGGCTGACATTACAAATGACTGTGTGACATAGTAATTGCTTTCTCAGCTTCTGTGTTCTGCAAAACATGGTGGTGTCAATTCTGACTAAGGAGGTGCCAACCCAAAAGGTCACACATGCATGCACACAATTACAACTGTTGCTAGTCCTGTTACAAGTTTTAAATTTACAAGTTTTGGTAAAAAACCATTAGAAATGTAAGACATCAATCAAAAAATTTAGGACAAAATTAATGTTTAGCTAAACAATTGTTTTTTTATTTTACACAGGTAATAATAATAAATTAAAGAAATAACATTTTTAAAAAGAAAAACAAATAGCTAGTGAAACAAGTACAGTAGAACCTCAATTATCCGCCCCCCGATCAACCGACCCCTCGGTTAACCGACTGTCCTAGTCGGCAAATTTCAAATGTCCGCTAATGATGTGGCGCTACAATAGCGACGGTTATTATTCTAAAAAATTTTTGTTAGGCTTAACATCAATGAAAATTCAACGCAAAATAGGTTAATAGCGATATACTAATATACTAATTACATGGGATATAATAATATACTACACTAATAATGGATTTTTTCATACTTTTCGGTTATCCGACTTTTCAATTATCTGACCAACCCCAGTCCCCAATTAGGGCGGATAATCGAGGTTCTACTGTACAATTGAAAGTTGTCCTTTTAACCAAGAAAAAAATGTTTGTAAAGGTGATTGGTTACTTATTCTAAATATCAATATTTCATTAAAAAAACAATTAATGGTTTATACAGGTCATTAATTGTTATTTTTGTTATTGTAAATTGTTCTTTTTTAATAATACTTAAAATTTATTATTATATGTTTTCAGACAGAATTGAAAATAATTTTAGTTTAATATATATCTGTTTTGTTCATTTATTCAGATTTATTTTTTTCACTTTTCAGTCATATCTGAGTAAAATATTCTATTGATTACCACTTAATCAGAATTAGTTATGATGAATCAAAGTTAAAATATTTAGAAACAACAATTTTCAATAAAACTTCAAGTTTCATAGAAGGACATTGATTAAATGCAAATTCACATACAAAACTTTAGATGAAAAAATTTGTTTGTAATATCAAAGATAGTAATGACACAATGTTTTATTGAAGCTCTTATTAATTTTGGTGCCATAATGTGAAAACTAATTATTGATGTCCAAATATTTTTATTTTTGAAGCAACTTTTTATAATAAGTTGTTACAATATTTAAATGATAGTTAATTAATAAAATTACAAGATCAGTTATGTCAATACTATTTGATAATCTTATTTACTGTTCTTAAAAGATATTAAGATTTATGTTGTAGGAAAATGTTTATGGATAAAAGTACTCTTAAACTAGAAAGACAAATACACAAATAAAAAAAAACTATAAAAACTAGAATGAACATTTAGTTTCAAAATATTCAATAGGAATATTTTAAAACTAAACATTCATTCTAAGAATGGAATCCAATTGTCCTTTTAACCTAAAGCAGACCTCGTCTGATGCCGAAAACGTTTGTTTTTACGAATTGTTAAGAAGTACTGGACAGTAAAGGTTTAGTAAGTACGATTTTATGCAAATTATCAGTATTTGGATTAGAAGTTTTGTAAAAAAAACTATTATCTTTCTTTTCTCTGTAAACTTTCAGGTGAGTTTGAGAATTTTGAGACCACTTGCTAACATCTAAAGGTTTTACTTGGTGATGACTAGGTTTGGATGTTAGTAGTGCTTTTTCAAAATTCTCAAACTCGCCTGAAAGTTTACAGAGAAAAGAAAGATGGAATTTCAGCATCTCTTATTTACATCGTAGTGTATATCAGGAAAAAATTATTAATTTCTTGCTTTATGAAACTGTTCAATTTTGTTGTCATTATAAAAAAAAGATAGAACATCAAATTGTATTTATTACTTTCCTGGCTGTTATACAGAGGAAAAATATGGCAATCCAGCAAAATATAAAATGTATGATTCACTTGAACCAATTAACCGGTCTGAATACGATTAACATTTGAGTGATGAATGTTTTCGTAACCCCTTCTGGGCTCCTCTTCAAGCTTCTTTTTAATTTTTAAAAACAAGCCTGACATTAATGCTCAATGAAGTATTAAACAAGAATGTTATCATTGCTTTAAATCAATTAATGATAATGATAACATATCATTGAATAGAGTGCTGACCATTATTATAGAAAGCTATCATTTTTACAACAAAAATAAATTATTACAGTAGTCAGATCAAAGGTACCATGAGGTTGAATGCTTATTTCCACAGAATAAAAGAATAACAAGAATTGAGTTCTCATTACTTTTGTGTTATCTATGTGGTACTAATTAATTTCAATCAATTAGTTCAATTATTTGTTACATTGTGTGCTGATATATCCTCTGAAATAAATTGTAGTATCACTGAGTCAGATAAATTTCACATTTTTTGCTGACATTTTTACGGCCATATTCACCAATATTGTTTCAAATTGAGAATTTTGTAATTCAAGATTTTGAGCTGGTAATACAGTATTAGATTAAGGGTTACTTTACTGGTTACTTTCACTAGCCAAATCTAACACTGGATTATGAATTCTTCAAATTAAGCTGAAGAACATTTTTCAATTACTTTGATTTTTGCTGAATGCATCATGATGTGTCTGTGCAAATTGTTACACACAAAGTAAGCATGTGATCTTGAAAGCTTAATAGATAATGGATTCCTACAGTTAAAGGAACCATACTAACTTCAAAATGAGAGCATTATTTGAATTAGTTGCAAAGCATGTGTATTAGAAAAATAAAGAAAAACTGAATGATGTGTATAGAGGTGGAAAATAAATTCTTCTTTATAGTGCATTAATGGCTCATTAACAATGCATCTTTTTTTCAAACATTAATAAAACATAGCTTCAAAGCTAACTCAATTTTATTATCTTTTCTGATTCAGTTTCTGTTGAGAAACATGTTTTCGTGTTTTCCTGCTATTTTAATATTTAGCCTGTTTCTCAAAATATTGCATAACTGTGAAAATTTTAAATGTGTAGCTTATCACAGCATTCTAAAATTTGAAGTTTATTTTTGAGAGACAAATTTTTTCACTTATTTGCTTCTTTCATTATTCTGAGGTACAGTACGTACATCAAACAGTAATACATAGATTACAGTCTTCAGCCTGCCACAAACTATTTGATATCAAACCAAACTGGTTGAGGGTGACATTGAATAAAATTTGTTCAATCATTGAATTGTTGCAGAGTTGACTATTAATCACTTTGTCATTGACTTGATGTCATTCTTTGTGTCTTTGATGGAAAGTAGGTGGTCCATTCGACAACTCTCAGATCCGAGAATTTGGTTTTTTGGGCAGCAATTGATGATGCTCATGTTTATTTGAGAGTTTGTGAGAAAGGAGCTTGTGCTGTAGACTGCAAAGAGGTCTTGCACATATTTTTACATTTCTAAAAATCTATCAAACAACTTCCTTTTTTGTAATCCTAGCATAGGAAAGACATGGCTGAAACAAAACACCAAAGATCACAGTAGTGTTTCTACTGTGATCTTTGGGGTTTGTTGGTGTTTTGTTTCAGCCATGTCTTTCCTATGCTAGGATTACAAAAAAGGAAGTTGTTTGATAGATTTTTAGAAATGTAAAAATATAAATTAATAAAATTTTTCTTTTTCTATATCAGAAAAAAAGAAAAAAAACATTTTTTAAAATTTATGTATATTTTTTAATATAAATGGAAAGAATACCACCCCTTTGGTAAAATTTTAAACTTTATATTTATAATAAATCACTGATTTTATTGAAATTATAAAAGTTATGTACAGTACATATGATGGCAAATCCATTCTCTATCTGGTCCCCATTTTCATTTTTGTTTATTTATTAAATTTTTCTTAAATACACAACAAATGAAAGCATCAGAAGCTAATAACAACTAATCATTGTCATTTTACAAACTACCTTGCAATAGTTCTTACAGGGGTAGATGAAATGTCCATTGGTTCTTTAGAACTACATCACAAGTGATATGAGGCAACAACACCAGATCATCAAAAGAAAACAGTCACTTGACCATAAAAATTGCCTCTGATGTCACATCAAAAACAACCATATCAACTAATTGGTAGTGTGGGCTTTACTCAGCACAAAATTGTAGCCTATAAATGAGGTAGGCCTACTAACTAGTGCCAGGAATTGAAATTTAAACTATGGTATTGAGTACAAGATTAAAATGAATGATCAACATATTAAGAGTAACATCCTATATAATTGGATGATTTTAATGAAAAAAAATTAGAAATATTGTACATTCTGTTTTCATAATACCTGTAATTTTTTAAAAATATTAAATATAATTAAGATTTTAGCCATATTTAATTTTTGTAACAATTTTTGGGAAGAAAAATTTAGTTTGGATTTAACAAATTATGGAGATCAATTATCATTTATATATATTCAGTTAAAATGGTTTATTTTATTTAAAAGTAATGATTGAAGAATTAATGTATACTTATAACTTTTATCATAATGTTGTTGTATAATTTTATTTTTTGTGATGATTTCAGAGTTTCAGCAATGTCACGATATAGAGATAATTGTCCACTGGACTGTAAAGTTTATGTTGGTGAATTAGGAAATAGTGGTACTAAACATGAATTGGAAGAAGCATTCGGCTATTATGGTCCTCTAAGAAACGTATGGGTTGCTCGTAGCCCTCCAGGATTTGCTTTTGTAGAATTTGAAGATCCAAGAGATGCTAGAGATGCTGTTAGAGCATTAGATGGAAAGTATGTAAAATAATAATTTGTAATTTACATCATCGTATACAGTTTAAAATTTAAAATTATAATAATTATCCATCCAACTGCCATATAACTTTGGGCTATAACTTGGCAATACTTTGTATTGGGTTTGTTGTGGATGTTTATATTTAGAATTATATTTCTTTGTATAGAATCTTGTGTGGACGTCGAGTCAGAGTAGAAATGTCATCTGGTAAGTCAAGACATTCTTTTCGTGGACCCCCTCCTCGTCCATTTCATCCAGAAGATAGATGTTACGATTGTGGAGAAAGAGGTCATTATGCAAGAGATTGTAAGCGTGTTGGTGGTAGGCGACGACGTTCAAGGTAAAAATTTTGCTAAATTCTCTATTTAAATGTTACATTTTAGATAAATTGAAAATCAAGTTTGTTGGCTGTAAGTGGATCACATAAATCATTTAATTCGAAAATGTAAATTTTGTTATTAGGGAATTTTGTGGATCAGTCGATAAGTGGAACCTTAACACTTTGATCTGCTTCAATTCGATTTTTAACATTATTTATTCAAATTGTTTAAAATTAAAACATCCTGAATTAATCATTTGGCTATACACTAATTCAAACAAATATTCTAAATCAGAATTCTTTTGTTTTACTTTACTTTCTACACAATACATAATCTAACTTATTTTTTTTTTTTTACCTCTCATTCTTGTAAAAAAAATTATAATAATTTATTTGACCATATCTTGTAGGCTAAAGCAGCCTAGTAAAATTCAACTAGTTGCTCCAAGCTGCTGGGGGTGACTCCACTAAATACCATTGACACAGCTACTACAACTTGTCATGTGATCTACAGCAGCCAGTACAACTAGTCGTGTGATCGACAGCAGTTAATCTGAATAGTCTTCAATCGTCCACTTAATCCTTCCAAGTTATCGTCCATTTAACTGCGACTAATATTTGCATCAGGCCTGTGAGCATGTTGCATCTCAGCTGAGCGTTGCTTCTATCTCCGGTGATTTGATCAACATTCGATCAGCAGGTGGTTCCTTCCTCTAGATTACCTTCTAGAGGGTCGTCAGGGTCGGCACTTCATCTCGGCTCATTCTGCTGCCCCCTGTGCTCAACAAGAATTTTAAATTAATTTCAAAAAGATTCATTAATATTGTGGATCTTGTATTTCTTTAAATTTTCTGGTGAGTTTGATTCATAAAAATTTTTAATATTGATTTAAGTTGATAATTTTAATTGAGCACAAGGGGCCAAAGCAGCACAAGGTAAGTGATAAACTGGAGCCAGAGGAAAATCAAATAGTGGCAGGGAAAACAAATATTATTCTCACAGAACATTATTATACGAAAGGCATCATTAATTAAAATATTAAAGCTTTATTATTGCTTGAAAACAAAGTAATTTGCAATAACTAGGCATATCCGCAATAGTATATTTTCAAATGTTAATAGTTATTTTATTTATTAATTGTTTAGTAATCAATATTAAATATTGCCTAAAAGTAAATGAAGTGCCAATTTATAGTTTAAAATATATGGAAGGGAAATAAATTAGAAATAGTTTCCTGTACCACTAATAGTAAATTTCTAAACTATGCAAATTATCAATATATTCAGTAATATACTTTCTCAGTATACATGATAAACTTCACTAAAATAATGATTAATTTAAGCTGTTGCAAAAATAATTTTTAATGTTTAGGATATTTTTCTAAGTATTAAACATAATAGAGCATGGATTTTTTTCTCTATTTCATGACTCAGTTTAAAACATAATGATATATTAGTTTCATTTTGAAAAAAAATTTACTTTGAATAAAGCTTAGTAATCCTTAGTTTCTATAGGTTTAACAATTATGTTTTCACTTGTCACCTTAATTTATCTACATTGATAAGCATGAAAGTTGATTTTGATAAATAACTTTTTTTTTAATTAAAAAATCAGTCAAATTTTTTAAAATATAATTAGGATTTAAATATTGCAACTGTTACAATATCTTCATTAAGAAAAGTCTTTATTATTATTAATTGAAATAAATTTTGTGTGTTAAAGTCATATATATCAATAATAATACATCTATTTCCATTAGATGGGGGAGTTCATTATTTTATGATATGAACATTTATACCAATCATGATATATATCAATTATTATTCATTTTAAATTTTATTCTGTTTCATGAATGACTTATTTATTATTTATTATAGCAAATATAAGTCTTGGTGATATGAATTCTTTATAAAAAAAAAAGCAAAAGAAATTTTTATTCCTGACAGATTTAATAGTAATAAATTTATTGAATACATAAGAATATAGGCACACTAGATTTATATAAAATTTCAAATTAAGAACTGGTTTCTGGTATTTAAGTATAAATCATTTGAATGAATGTTATATATTTATTTGAATGAGATGTCAGAAATTGGTTTTTTGATTTGACATTTTATTTTTAGTGGGATATTTAATTAGTTAGTTGGAGAAATTCGTGTATATAATATATATTTTATTATTGTATAATTCCTTTGATGTCACTAATATTTTAAAATAATAAAAGATAAATAGTTACAGAAACAAACTATTAAGAAGATTTAAGATATTAAAAAGAAATATATCTTTTGTCACATAATGTACTATAAATGTATTTAAATATCTGTCAGGAGCATTGCCAGTTTATAGATGTGACATCAACAGAAAAGATGTAAATTAAATATTAGCTTTGTACAGTTATTTGCATGCACTGAATTCTAATTTTAAAAAGAAAGCAATAGGGTATCTACATCCTAAAATTTTTAATATTGGCTCCTAATTATTAATTTAGATAAAAATTTATCATCATCAGATTAAAAAAATTTAGAAAAACATTAGTTTGTTCTTTCTTTTCATTAATTTTTAATTACTGTACTTTCTTGTTATTTTCATTTCATTTGTACACTAAGTAATACTAAACTATTTTACTGAAGCATGTTCTGTCTTTATGATGATTCCTCTGTACTGTTTTCAAATTTTCATTTTTTCAGCAGTTGGACAACAAATATCTAAAAAATTAATTTAGAATTTTAAATATTTAATAGTGATGATGATATAATTAATTTTTAAAAATTACAGAGGTTGAGGCTGATGTTTTCAACTCAAAAATGTATACGTTGGACATTCAGCGTTGCCTTCTTCCTTTAGGCCTAGAAGTTTGACAATGGCATTTAGAATATCAGTGGAATCATGCTCGATGTTCAACACCATTGTAAAACTTCTAGGCTTAAAGGAAGGCAGTGCTGAACGTCCAATGTACACATTTTTGAGTTGAAAACATTGGCCACAACCTCTCTATTATAATAGAATAGTTTAAAAGTTTAATCTTTTGATGAGATTGAAAAATTAACATAGTATATTTTTTAAACTGCTTTTATAATGGTGAGCTAGCAGTTAATTTTATGTTGATGGTAGATATACAGATTGAATATTTGCATATATAATAAAAACAGATGTTCATCACTTTAATTTTCTAAATAGTGGTCATTGGCAGATTTGTAGGTTAATCAAATACATTTAGCATTCCTTAACAAAGTAAATTTTGAATATTATTTAAATTACGAACCTATTAAAACAGTATGTTATTATTTGATAAAATGAAATTGCAATAAAAGATAATTACTATAGTGAAAAATGAGGTAATTTGTTAGATGGTAATATAATGAAACATTTGCTCGCTACCATCAAGGATCCAAATTTGAATCAATTTTGTATGTTTGTGATTTTTTTTAATGATGATTTTATTTCTCATTTTACTGGTCGATTTCATTGCTACTGAAACTTACACACACTGGATAAAACCTGGTATACTGTGTACTGGTGTTTTTTAGTAACAGTAACAAATCCAATCTTCGAAATATCTGTGAATTTAATTTACAAAATCCAAATTGTTAAAAGCATTAACTTGCCAAAGAATGAATATTTTAATGTGTCTTTAAAATGAATTATTTTAATTCAAGAAATTTTCAGATTTAGTAATTGTTTGATCAATGTAAACAATATCACATTATGAAGTTTTAACTTTTTAAAATCTGTTATTTAATCCTTATTATACAACTATCTGCATCACTGAGCATTTGAATAATATCATAAATATTTGAGACTGTATTTAGGAATTTAGAATTAGAGGTTTTGTTGCTTCCTGGGCTTGGTTATCTTATTTTTAAAAATTTGGAAGTCAAGTGTTTTTATTTTTAAAATGACCTTTGCAGTCTATAAAACATATTTGTAGATTTTATGTAATTTATTGAATTTCTGATTCTTTCAGGAAATTAATATCATTAAGAGATCTTTTGTAATCAGAGGTTGTTAATTCAATTTTTCCATTTTGTAATTTCATTTACATTTTATGCAGCATCTGGATAAAATAATGTTTATTTGTACATTCAATATAAACACAGGATATTGCAGTTTATAGCAAAGCTTGATAATTTGGCACCAAAATTATGCTGAATTATCTGCACTAAGTATTGTTTCAGAAATATTAAAATTTCATAAATAATTTATAATGCTTAGCTATATGTTAGAATGTTTTGATACATTAGAGTCTGATGTATCAATTTATTTAATGTTTTATCTTCTCTTATTATTGGATTTAGTTTTAAGGTTGTTTGTCTTCTATATACAGGATGGCAATAGTTGAGATGTTATTAAGGGTCCTATGGCAAAACATCTATTGTACAAAATTCAGCCAAATTTGGAATAATTATTCTTTCAAACATGGGCTTTAAAAACAAAAACACACATTAAATATTAAAAGAAATGGGTTAATACTGGACAGAGCGGATGTGCAAAGATAAAGCTTAGAATGTTATTGCAAAAGTTCTTCATTTTGGATGATGATATTTCACTCTCTCACACTCAACAATGAATGGTAATGATGATTTTATATCAGTGATATCTCCTCTTTATCTGCCAGTATAAAGTTTTTCAAGAAAAAAAAATTTGAGGGGAAGATTTTGGTTTGGATTGCAATGAAACTGAAAGGATTGAGTCAAGTCATAATCAGAAAATCAAGTTTTGCTATCAGTATCCATTGTCCATTGATATTTAAATGAATGCATTTGATGTTGCTTGATTCCTTACATTCAAAAGATCCATTCTCGAGTAGAATGTGTTTTATTGTATTGGAAGATCTTGTGGAATAATGAGATACTCCTTTATATGAAAGGCACACAATTGCTGTGAATAATCCTCATATATTTCATAAGATATTTTACACTTACCAAAAGTTACAATGTGGTATAGCTTAATGTGCTAATAACTGCATAACTTATCGTTTGTCTGTTCTTTGAAGAAAATCATTCAGCAGGACCAGTTCTTGACTTGTTCTATCACTGCTATTAGGATTGAGTCATACTACTTAATTTTGTTGATCCACAATTTAACAGCAAAGATGTCTCAACTTTACATGTTTATGCAGGCTGGAGCACCATCTCACATTGGATTGCTGGTACAGTTGGTGTTACAATGACAATTTGCAGAAAACAGAGTAATTACTAATGCATTTCTTGTGGTATGGCTGTCTTATATACCAGATCTTGATCCTTGTGACTTTTGGTTGTGGGGATAGCTAAAAGCACACTGTACCGAGGACATGTTCCTGATTTAGTAACTTTGAAAGACAGATTAATACTAAACATGTGACAAATCAATTCAGATCTGTTGCACTCCAATGCAGAAAATGATGTTCAAGAAAGTTTATAGAACATTAAGGGGGCATATTGAACCATATCTGTAAATTAAATCCACCTTGATACTAATTGCAATATGTAACAAAATAAAAATATTTTGTACCAAACAAAAATTGATTTGTAGTGTCTCTTTTAGCCATTACTGTCTAATTAATTCTAAACTTTTCATGATTTCAATGCCATATTTTTCCTGGTAACGAAATTTTGTACTCATGTTTTCTTTATAATCAAAACTTTGTATTCCTGAGTACTTGCACTAAATTTGGTTGAGTTTTAATATATGTTTCACTATGGGGCTCTGAACACCACTTCTTTGCAACCATCCTGTATTGTTTAGAATTGAATTTCATCTTCAATATTTAATACTTACATTTCAGTGTGCTGCTTTATTGTTCTTAAAAATAACATACTACAACCCATTTAATTAATTGATGAAATTTATTGTTTGTTGACTTTTTTGAACAATTGATTGCTGCTAAAAAATTTTATTTGATACCACAGATTACATTTTAGGAAATCTTTTAGCAACTATGTCATTTTTTATTTATAAATTTTGATATGATTGTAATTTTATTTTATTAGCATTGTAATTTATGCATGTTAAGTACGGATGGCAGTTAGAACTTCTTTCTACACTACATTTCAATTGTTTCTAAGCATCTCTCGAACACTAAAATTGTAACGGAGAAACAACCCAGGGTGATTAGGCAGTACAGCACTATAAGAACCTACAACACCAGCTTGATAGTCTTCGCTTCAAGCCATCTAGAAGTAATGTTCTGCAATTTGTGAATGCGGAGAGAACAGATTTTTTTTCCTTATCTTCATTCTATACAACATAACTACTCACTTAAACACTCCAAAATGTGAAAGACTGTTTTCCAACAATATGGTATTTCTCACATTCGGAGGAAAGTGTGATGGTCTTGGGAGGTTCAATTTTATAGATTCTATCAAGTAATAAACGAATTTTAAAAAGAAATCTTGAAATAGATTTACGAAAAATAATTATCACTGGTACTGGCTACTAATCTTTACCTCCTGTAACAAGATAGTCATTATAATTTCACAATTTACAATGAAGGAAATTGTTATATTATTCAGCTCGGCAATATGTAAGAAAAATTATAAATTTCATTAGAATTAATCTATAATTATATATAAAACATCAATAATAAGAATTTTTCTATTAATGTAGATCTCGCTCTCATTCCCGCCGCTCTCGTTCTCGTGGACGTTCTGCCAGTCGCAGCAGAAGCAGAAGTAGGACTCCAGCTAGTCGTAGTCGTTCGAATAGCAGAAGTAAATCTCAAAGCCGGTGAGTAAGTATCACAATATATTGCAGAAATCTTCGTCTCTGTTTATGCACTGTTGTTTTGAGAGCAGTTTCTGCAATTGTTGTGTAATATTATATATATATTAGTATGTATTTGAAATCCTTTATAAGAAATTTAATTCATTTAGTAAAGAACATTCTGAATATGGTGCAATATACTTGTCTATTCATTTTATTACTTTATTTGAAATAATTAAAATATATTCTTTGCATATTGAAACGATCAAATCAAATTTTATTACAGTTGGCTTGCCTTAAAATGAACATGGATAAAGTGAATTATGTCATTGTCACAAAGTTAATTTTCACGTGATAAAGTGAACAAAAATTTTACCAGAATTTGTTAAACGAAACTGTAAATTACCTTCACAACCTCCAAGAAATAACCTTATTTCCAATAATGGTTGATTTTTACACTTTTCAACATGAACAATAAAAAATGATATTGTAATAAATGTTCTGCTTTGAGTAGAATAGATTTTCTTCTGCTAGTAAGCAAAAAGACATGTTTGATCTCTGATTGTAAAGCAATTCAAATGTGGTTTTAGTGGACCATTCTACAATATTCAGAAAAAAGGGGTTAAAAAGTTTAAGATGCCCACTCCATTAAGTGGATGCAGTCTCATGCAAACACATACTTATTTGCATATTGGAAAGTGTACACAATGATGGCAGGTTGCTCCTGTTTTACTCTCTTGACTCTAAAAATATTTTCTACTTTTTCAAACAATTTTCAACAGAAAAACAATCACAGATTTCTGTTAGCTTATTTTGTTTGGGACTCTATATTGCACCACACTTAAACTGCAGAAACAATATTCTCTTCATTCTGTTTGATTGAAAATCATACAAAAGCAAATGAATGTTCTATAAATAAATTTAACTTTATTTAATGGGTTGTTCGGAAAGTAAAGGAAAAAAACACAATATTTTTATAATAAATAAATACTTTATTGAATTATATATCAATATCAACCATTTTGGTCAAATACCTGTTGTCATCNGTCGATGTTAAGCCTAACGAAGACTATTGTATCGTTAAAAATTAATTTTTTATTTTGTACGAACAAAATAAATATATTGAAAAATATAAAAACAATAAAAAATTAAATTTGGTCTGAAGAAGAGCCCAGGTAAGGTACATTAAATTTGGCCTGAAGAAGAGCCCAGGAGGGGCATCGAAAGCATTTGCCAATATTAATTTGGAATTTTCACGCCGGATATTGGTTGAAGACTACACATATTTGTTGTATATGACCCAGTGTGGGAGAAATCCTTGAATAAAAAATTATACTTCAGGAGTTAATTTAGTATCAAAAATGTAAAATATTTGAATAGCCCAAGACATAGCCAAAGATTGCAGTGCCACAGCACTGGCGAAAATTTAAATTTGCCGACTGGAATTCTTTCGGATGATTGACTTTCGAATAATCGACGCTCTGCTGTAGATGCTGCCACATAGGATATAGCCTTAGTCAGCTCATTTTGACCTCTAATACTGAAGAAAAATGCGACCTTCGTTTGACCCCTATCTCCAGTTCTACAAAAATGGACCATTTTTGAGAGTTGAAATTTATCAGTTCATCCTTGAGAAATGATGAGTCATCCTAGAAAATTTCATCAAGATTGGAAACTCATTCTACAGTTATAATGTTGACAAGGAATGCATGAAGTCAAGTGTTAGTCATCACTCAGCTTTGCCTCGCTCTGACAACTATGTATAAAAGCATCCTTACAACAGGCATCTACTGTGAGTCAAATATGTTTTAATGCATGTGTGAGTACAGAAGTTTCTATATCCAAATTAGCCTTTAATATTAATATAGTTCGAGTTACGTAACAATTGTTACTTGTAGCTACCTGAGAAAATATCCCGTTATCAGTTCTCGACAGCAACATGACACTTTCTTGCAAACTATTAACCTCTGGATGACCAATATCACTATAAATGGCCAAGGAAAGTCAGTCTCCTGGTTAGTCCTTCCTGAGGAAAGAAGTTGTCGCCCATTTCCATTAATGAAGAGTTAGTATAACTTTCATCAACAACCTTTTGTGTGTTAGTGCATGATTGAGCCTGGATATTTCAACGGGACATTTTGACTGGATATTTTACCCTTGGACAAGTCTTGAGAAAGCCTGTAAGATGAACTATTACCTTGTTCTTCGATTCTACATGACCCTGAACGGAATATCTGTTACAAAAGGTATTTATCGCCACGTGAGCCTTATGTAAAACTCTCTCTCTCCATGACCTAATTTTTTTGTATCAAATTCTCAAATTTTTTTTTATTCATCAAATCTTTGTTAAGTGTTAATTGTAGTTCGAGTCACTTCCATATGTTGTCTTTCAATCGGCTGACATTACAAATGACTGTGTGACATAGTAATTGCTTTCTCAGCTTCTGTGTTCTGCAAAACATGGTGGTGTCAATTCTGACTAAGGAGGTGCCAACCCAAAAGGTCACACATGCATGCACACAATTACAACTGTTGCTAGTCCTGTTACAAGTTTTAAATTTACAAGTTTTGGTAAAAAACCATTAGAAATGTAAGACATCAATCAAAAAATTTAGGACAAAATTAATGTTTAGCTAAACAATTGTTTTTTTATTTTACACAGGTAATAATAATAAATTAAAGAAATAACATTTTTAAAAAGAAAAACAAATAGCTAGTGAAACAAGTACAGTAGAACCTCAATTATCCGCCCCCCGATCAACCGACCCCTCGGTTAACCGACCGTCCTAGTCGGCAAATTTCAAATGTCCGCTAATGATGTGGCGCTACAATAGCGACGGTTATTATTCTAAAAAATTTTTGTTAGGCTTAACATCAATGAAAATTCAACGCAAAATAGGTTAATAGCGATATACTAATATACTAATATACTAATATACTAATTACATGGGATATAATAATATACTACACTAATAATGGATTTTTTCATACTTTTCGGTTATCCGACTTTTCAATTATCCGACCAACCCCAGTCCCCAATTAGGGCGGATAATCGAGGTTCTACTGTA